GAGAAGCCCGGAAAACCCGGGTTGACAGCTATACTTGTCTGGTCTTCCCGAGCCCTCAATGTCCGAGACCGAGACGAGACCGAGACAAGACCGAGACCAAAAGCGGTGGAGTCCGAGACGAGACCAAAAACCATCAAAAGACCGAGACCGGTCTCGAGTACTACAACACTAACTTTCATGTTTTATTCTACAACATAAAATACATAAGTATACACCACTCGTGAAGCTGTTGCATGTCTTGATATCATTATTCTTATAATTGTGCTCTTACATACTATTCTTAAATATTTTTAGATCAAAAACTGAAAGAGTTGTCGGAAACTTAGTGATGGTGACGTTGAATTCGAGAGACCGAGCTGTAGTTTGTTTATAGCCTACCTTTAGCTTTTTACTTCTGGCGACAGTTGTGACACTGCCACAGTAAAGCCCAACTATTAATATTTTTTTTTTTTAAATATTCCTGTATGTTTGATTTTCAGCATTTGTTTACACTTGTTTTTGGTTGGGGGAAACTTTTGTTGGGATCTTAGGACTCTTATTATGTTGAGCCTAGGATAAAAAAAAGAGGAAGGGCGGCCATTTTGAAAGTATATTGTTTGGTGAGGTGGCATAGTTTTTTTGGCTAACCTAGCTCAGAGAAAATTGTTCAAAATGAACTCTGGGAATAGAGACATGAGCTGTGTCCCAATGTGAAGGCTGCGTCCTTCGAAGTCCGTATTTTAAGGCAGATTGGCCGCGTTTGAAGGCTGATTGCGTCACAGCGGCGCCACAGAACGAAGGCTGCTCAACTTTGGTATGTCATTCAAATACGACCCCAAATTCGCACTTCGTTTCTCAGACAAACGAAGTGTGCAAAAATGGACACTTCGCAGCCTACGCTTTGTCCGAGAAACAAAGTGCGCAAAAATGGACACTTCGCGGCCTACGCTTCCCCAGAATTCACAGCGTGCCGGTAACGAGCAGGTGACGACGTGCAAATGGCAGGTGTCGAGGAATTCAGTTATAAATGTAAGTATTGTGAATTCATTTATTAAAATAGCTAGCGATAAATATAAGGCATAAATATGGACCATGCCCTGAACCCCTATAGTTAAATGAAGCAAATACTAAATTATAAAATGCTGTTCTTGCTTAGTTTTTTTTCGTCTTGTTTCTAGTATAAATTTAAAAAAAAAAATTAAGAAGATTTTAGGCTACTAGACAAGCAAAAGTTATTAGTTTTAGTGTTGAGCTTTTTCTTAAAATAAGCAAAATAATCTGCCAAGTGGTGTAAGTAAAATAATTGTTTCATTTAAGATTATTTAGCTTAACCCATTAGCAAATTATGGTTTTGTTTAAAGCAAAAATTCACTTAATTTTAAGTTATTTTTCCCCAAAATAAGAAATGTTTTATTTGTCTAGTAGGCTAAATGCTTCTTGATATAAGAATTTTAAGATGTTTGAACTAGAAACAAGACAAAATATTAAGAAAAACTTTTTTGCAGTGAAGTTCAAGTAGGAGGGTATATTCAAGTAAATAAAACCACAGCACGAATCCAGCTAAAATGTAGTAGATAAACATTCTTGAGAACATAGCGGTGTCTGCAAAACATTATTTAATTTACCCGAAATAGCTAGCAAAACAAGTGTTAAAACCTCGTGGAGTTTCTGAACTTGAAAAAAACCTGAACTTAAATTAAAAAAAACTTCAGCTTCATTTATCAGGTGGTCTGAGGCTAAACCTGTTGTAATACTTTTTGTTTCAGGGACCAAGGAGCAGACGGGTCAATTTATAAAATTACGAGCCGAAAATAAACAAACACATGTTTACAGGGGCCAAAAAACTGTGGCTTGGAGGTAAAATCATTAACCATTTGTAATATTTCCACTAGCAATAGCTTGTATGCAAAAATTAGCCCTCACCCTGTACAAAGCCCACAGCAATGATACAAGAATAAGTTAAGGCAATAAGGTCTTTCACTTAGTTGTTAAGCAAACTTGAGGATCCAGGAATATAATTTCTGCGGTACTTTGTATGCATTTACTGCTGTGTGATTTTTCAAATGTTAAGATTGCACCCCTGTCTTAATATTTTTCGTAAGTCTTTCCTTTTTCTCCTTTTTTAGGAGAATTCTGGAGGAAATGGACCTGCTAGAGAAGGTTACTCCCTTGCAGGCCAAAAGAAAATGGGACAACTTAAAAAAAAAAGTACAAAGTAAGCAAGTTAATTTACACATCTTTGCTGTAATGTATTGTGGTGTTCTTGTTGTTAACAACAGGTATGGTGTATGTGCTCTGCCTTATAGGATTGCAAGTGTCCTGGGACTGGTGAGGGGGTGAGCGGGAAATCCACTGCTGCAACTTGGCCCTGGTTTGTCCACATGGATGAGGTCTTGGGACAGCAACCCCCCTGGTTGGCCTTCCAACAACCCCCCTGTCCTAATTGCCTCCATCCCTGACGACAAGCCTGGGCCAAGTTCAGCAGTGGCTGACCAAGTTAAACGGCCAGCCCCAGCCGCAACCCCAGCCGCACCAGCCCCAGCAGCCAACAGAAGGAGAGGCAATGAACAGGTAGACCCTGATAGTGCTGCTGGGCCAGGATGGGCTCCACAATAGAGACCCTGGTAAGACCTCCTCCTGGTGGAACATCATCTGGGATGGGCTCCAGTCCAGAGTGTTTGAGTGCATATTTCCACTATCCACTAAGTTGTTTCAATAGGTTTGCAGGGCTGACTCAATCGACGGCTGCCATCTCACTGAGATAATTTTAAATAAGGGAAGAATAAAATAAATTAACTTGTCTTCAATTCAAAGCGTAAAATATTTCAACATTTAAACCCATTCTACGGACCTTCATTTGAGCTTTTGGCCATTATACTGTAGCTTTACAGTTCTCTGACTTGCCTGTTACAAGTAGTCGTGGTTGATGGGAACCTCCTCCAGGGCAGACACCTCTGCAGTCAGCCTTGCCAGGGAGCACCACTGACAGTCTCCAAACCATGCTCCCCCTCATCCTCTGCATCATCCTCCTCATGCTCATCCTCTGGGGGCATGATGTCACCAACCCCAAGGCAGATGTTGTGGCATATAAATTCAATATGCATGAGAATTTAATGGTTTCACGCATTTGTTTTTGTTTATGTACACTAATGTTAATGTATGTTTTGGAAACAGATCAATGAAGAGCTCTGTAGGTTCCTCAATGTGGAGAGAAGCCTCTGTGCTCCATATCATCCACAAACAAACGGGCTCGTGGAAAAATTAAATGGAACCATTCAGAGGTGAACCTTCATTTATGGGTTGCTTTATGGGAATGCAATATTCAGGGAAAGATTTGTCTTTGAAAATTGGTTACTCATTTTTTCTTGACTCCAGAGCCTTGTGCAAACTCGTGGATACAAGACCAGAAAAATGGGATGAGTACCTAGATGCAGTAATGTTTGGTCTTAGAACCAAGACCCAACTGACAACTAGGTTCTCACCATTCTTTTTAATGTTCAATATGGAGGCACGATATCCTTGTGAGGTGCCAGAGACATATGAGGTATGTGATATTTTTTTACATTGTTCCAAATAAATCTCATGCATCAATTTAGTGAAATAATTTCAATCTTCAATGTTTCTAAAGGTCAACAGCACAGTGGAATCTGTAATAGCAGAGGACACGATTTCAAAGGCCATTTCTCTGAAGGAGAAAATGGACGACATTGTGAAAAAAAATGTAAGACAAAAACAGGACAGGAGACAGAGGGTGGCTGCGGTGGTAAATCAGGCACCACTTTTTTTAGGCCAGAAAGTTTTAAGAAAAAATATACGGACCCAACAGAGGAAAGGGGGCAAGCTTGAGCGCAGCTGGTTGGGACCATATGAAGTTGTTCATTTGCAAGAAAAGAGTGCAGATTTGAGGGATGAAAATGGCAAGATATTCCCCAAAATCAACACTGACCACCTCAAACCCTTTAAAGAAGAGACACCCCGGATACCCCATAGAATTACCCAAGAACCAAAACAGAGCAAAAGAGCACATCAAGAAACGTCACGCCCTTCACTCGCACCTGTAGACCTCACCATCATCAAATCACATGAACACCAGCCCCTACCACCATCACCTCCATCCTTACCAATTGACATGTCTACTAGATCTAAATCTACAAGGTCCTCTCCCCTGTCTCCGTTGAATTCTTCAACCACAATGCCACTTTCCTCTCCTGTGTCCCACACCCCTACACGGATTTCAGAGGTACCCAATACCACAGACGCAGTGCATCGCTGTAAGTGTTGATTCACAGTCAGATCTCATAATAGATCAATATTAGTCTGATTTGTAATATATTTGTGAGGTGGTAAGTGCACTACTTTTTTTTTTGGTTTTCCTCTGTAGATATCAAAAGTGCTTGGGCTGGTAATGACAGTTATGTACTGCTGTCCAGAGTGTGACCCTATAAATTGTTTTACAAAGACTTGAGGATCGGCCCCGGAAGGGAGTTGGAGAGTGAGGTACACATTTCATTGGTTTTGACAGATAAGCCTTTCATCTGCTATGCTAATATTTTGCATTTATGTTTGTCAAGGTTATAAATGCATATCTGTCTCTGAAAGTGAGGGAGCACAACTTACCTTCACCAGGCAAGGCATTCCACATGGACACATTTGCCATGACCGACATGTGGAAAGGAAAACATGAAAGGCTCAAGGTGTCCTGCAAAAGTGCAAAAAAAAAAATTACTTTTTTTTTTTTTTACTTGTGCTAATTTTTTATTTATATTTAGTTGGACCCAGCAAACTATGAGGTCATAGTGGGTATTGTAAATGAAGGCCACCACTGGTTCCTAGTTGTAAGTATTTGTGGTATAGAACAGTTTCACTTAAATTTTCCCTTAATCCTGACTAGCAATTATATAACCTTATCAAGTTGTCTTTTTGCATGTTACTTAGGCTATATACCCATCCCAACAAAAAAAACATTCTGCTTGATTCAATTGGAGAATCCGATATCAAGAAGAAAAAGTGTTTGGAGACAACAAGGTATTTTTCATGCACCATATGTAGTGTTATTGTGTAAAACTGTACTGTATGCTTGAAATAATACTATCTTGTTTGTAGAGCCCTGATGATGTCAAAGGGTATTTCGGTTTCAAACTGGGTGTGCGAAACCTTGCCTCACCCACTTCAGAGGGATGCCATATCATGTGGTGTGTTTGCTTTGAAGGTGTGTGATTTATAGTATTGTAGCAAATATTAAGTGTCCATTAAAATTGGATGATGCTTAAGTTCATCTTTCTTGTTTCTTCCTCAGTTTGCAGAACACATTCTGCAAAATACCACTATAAACTTCTCCAGTGATCTGCAATATTTAACACAATGCAGAATGGAGATTCCTTTAACTCTGCTCCGGCAATCTGGTATGGCTTTATAAACTCATGAATGTTATTGATGTGTTTTTTGATGTATATCACTTTCATCAGCATTGTACTGTACCTCATAGATGACCTAAGTGACCTGTGCCATTTTTGCGGAGAGGCAGAAACTTTTGACGACTCTGAAGGAGAGGCAGAAACATTGACTGCATGGGTAAATATGGTTAAGCATTTTTGGTTGGTGTAGCATACTCAAAAGTAATCATGAATGCTTTGCTTTCATGACTAATGCTTTAAAACCCCCTTTAAAAAAATTGGTTATCTTATATTTTTATTTATTTTTTTATAGATTGCCTGTGATGACTGTGGGAGATGGTTTCACTTAAAGTGTGTTGGCAATCCATCGACGGAAGATAACTACAAATGTGCTTCTTGTAATAAATAACTAAATATGAAACCATTGTTTTTGCAGTTTTTTTTCCTTTGGTTGATAGCCTACTGGTTTTTGAAGAAATAGAAATTTATTCAATGTTTCATTAAGGTTTAACAGTATTTTGAACTGAAAAATGTATACAGTGTTTACCATTTTGAGGCCAATAAGATTAAGCCAAGCATTCCAGGTGTCACACATTAGCTTTTGTCTTTATGCGCTTCCTGGCCATTAAGTTCAAGATTCAGCTTTGCTTTTGTAATGATAAAAGTGTGACCACGCTGGTCAGACTGATTAGATTAGCGTCTCTGGTAATCTGCTGAATCATTTACATTTGCTTTGTTTCAAGAGACTCCTCCTCAATGTAACTCCTCCAGATTAGCATCTCAAGGCACAGAAAACTGCTATGCTGATGAACTGAGGTGTCTGTTGAAATTATACATTTACTTTTGTTTCAGTTTCTCCCCCCTCGATGTAAACTCCTCCCCTCTAAATGTATAAATTGTAAGGGAATATTCTCCCTTAGTTAGACTATCTTAGACTATCTTTGAGATGACTACAGCTACGCAATAAAGAACTTCTGCGTAAAAGATACCTCAAGAGTCTCCTGGTCTGTTGCGTGGAAGGAAGAAAAACTTCACTACAGATGGTGCCGTGACCCGGATAGAGAAATCTTACCTGAATCAAGAACTGCAACAAAAGATTTCAACAGAGAAATCTTACCTGAGTTCCAGAACAAGATCAACAAAGTGAACTGAGTTCCAGAACAAGAACAAAAAGAACTTTTCTGACTGAGTTCCAGACTGAATCTTTTCATACAAGCAACGATTCGGTGAGTTTCACTCTATTCAAAGAACCAGACCAGTACCAAAGTTGTGCCTCTGCGCCGTCAGAGAAAGAGTTATCAGGCAGCTGTAGTGTTTGATTAACTAAAGTTATCCTTTAAAAGTTGTCTTTTAAAGATGATAGATATCCTCTGTTGTCAGGCAGGGAAGATTGACATTAAATGTTAATATTTTGGGATCCTCTGAATAAGTCAGGGAAGTTGTAAGATATCATCTGAATGAGTCAGGGAAGTTTTGTGTAACGGAATAGTGCCTCTACGTTGCTAGAGAAGATATCCTCTAAACTTAGGGAAGATTAACATTACGTGTTAATATTTGGTGATAACCTCTGTTCACAGAGAAGGATTAGCATTTTTGTGCTAGTTATTGTGGTCGTATCCTCTAAAAGTTAGGAAGGTGAAATATCCTTTCCATTTTCTTTCAGGGAAGATTAGCGTAACATGCTAATAGTTTGTGTTGTTTGTTTGTTGTTGTTTTGTGGTGTTACCCTCTAAAAATGTACTTTAGAGATGAAAGTTTGAACCTCTGTACAAACAGGGAAGTATTAGCATAAAGTGCTAGTAATATTGTGGATTTCCTTTGCTCTGTCAAAGAAGGTTTACAACAGTCGATCTGTGTAAACAAGTGTAGCCTCTGTTGATCAGAGAAAGTTAGTTGTTTTGTGTGATAACAAAGAAACTCACAAAATGGTTGTGACGAATGCTAGGTTGGTTCCTACAACTGAGAAAAGTGGCCTTGCCGCTCCATTGTGGTCAGATAGTGAATTTAAGTCATTGATAGGAGAGCACATGGACTCCATAGTGACTCAGTCAGTCAGAGTGAATTTGACAAAGAAATTTGGCATTCACCCAGAAAAAGTATGGTCGATGGAAGATTGTAAAAAAGTGCTTGGAGCAAGTATTCGCAAGAACAATGTGAAAGCCATTATCTGTTGTTACAAAGAATACAGTTTATCCATTGCACAAGAGCAAGCTAGGTGTATTGCTAAGTTAAATGAACAGAACAAACAATTGCAGACTCAATTGTCCTGTTTCAAGACAAAGGTGGGCAATAACCAGGCCTCAGCCAAATGTAACACTGAAGACCAACAGTCAGATGAAACTTTTCCTGACTTACAAGCATTGTTTGAAAGAGATGTAGACATCCCATCAGTAACAGATAAGCATGTAAAATCAGTGAAGGTGTGTGCTGCTAGAAAAAGACAGCAGGGAATTGAACAGTCAGAAAGTGTTCCTTCCAGTGCTTCTGTTGTTCAAATCCAAACTGTTGCTACAACGCTCGGACCTAGAGACATAGAGAGATTGTCACAGAGTTTACCGCCAGCACGCACACAGTTCACTGAATTTAGAAGAGCATTGGTCAGCAAAATGCGTCTCTACGACATGTCGTTGACAGAAGTCACACAGTTAATGTCTCAAATTCTAACTGAATCTGAATTCAACAGTTTTGAGTCTGCTGTTACTTCTGAACTGCAACATGCCAGAAAAGATGAATTGAGAGTAGGTGTTCTGAAAATCCTAAAGAATATCCTAGGACCCAAGATAGATTGGTCTAGAATTACAAACTGTGTACAAAAGAAAGAAGAAACTGTGAATGAATATACTGAGAGGTTTTGTCAGTCAGCTGTAACGTACAGTGGAATAGTGGATGATTCTGAAAGTGTACTCAATGACAAAGGACCGCTGGTCCGCATCTGGTCAGATGGCCTTATAGCTGACTACAGAAGAGCTTTGCCATTTTTGGATCTGACTTGGTCTCACAGAACTCTTAGAAGTAACCTGGACAGGTTAACTGCTTGGGAAAGAGATTTTGATGTTAAGGCAAGAGTACAAATTGCAGCAGCCTCTTTTAAGGTCAGCACAGAAAACCCACAGAAACGTAAATGTCCTAAGAGAGAGGGCAGGTGTTATTACTGTGGTCAGCCGGGACACTGGAGTAGAGAGTGTAGAAAAAGCAGAAAGAATTTTAAAGAAGGCAACCTTTTTGCCCAACTTCTCAGTTTGCTTGCTACTCTGAAGCCGCCATTCCCCACGTCTTTAAACGGGTGGGGCAGCTTGTTGACGTGTTAACCATTTGGACTGTGAGTGCTTAATTTCCCCAGTAACTTACAACAGAGATAAAAAAAACTTATGTTTGTTTAACGGAACAGAAGGAAAGTGACTGTCTCAGCTTTTCCTTTGGGGAACTGCTTTAAGTAAACTCACAGCCTTAAATGTTATTCTACAGTACAGGCCTTTCATCAATAATAGTGTTAGGTCAGACTGTAAATGCCCACACGCAGTATTAGCACTAATGAATGAAGCAAAAGTCAATTTTGTCACCTTTTCCCATTGGGGAAATTCGTTTAACTACCCTCACCCATTCTCACGTATGATGTCTACAACGACTGATGTTTTGTTAGAGGATGAAGAAAAAATAACTCATAATTGGGTTACGCAGATCAAAGTACACATGTCACAGGACAGGTCAAGCCATTAGAGCCTAAGTGGCATGTGCCCCATCAAGGGATGTTGATCGGCAGTATTGTGTCAAGGTAGAAAAAGCTTTGTATTATGTGTCGCATTGAAAAGGGTTCTGTCACATTGCAAAGTGTTCTGCAAAGTTCTGCCACCCACAGGGACATGATATTGACACGAACCAGTGAGGAGCCAAGGGAAGAACCAAATGCAACAGGCTTTGGGGGCCAACCCTTTCGGTGAAGACTCCCTCATAGGTTTCCCCCATCCATTTAGTCCATCCTCACCTCACTGTTTTCTTTAGGTGTCAAGAATTAAGGAATAGGGAAAGAGGGAACAATAGCAGACTCAGTGTTTACTCAGCAGGATACAACCCTTGTCTTTGAAGAAATACTGCTCTCTTGTTTTTCTTTTTCCTCTGTGCAGATACCACTTGATGGCTATCCCGAGACCCATACGCACAGACGTCTTCACCTGCGTATGAAGCCACCACTTCCAGAGAACAATAAGACCCACTGCCGAGCCAACCATCACCAAAGTAAAGAAGAAAAATACACAACGCAGAGAAAAGACTTTCGGAACCTTCAGTCATCCATCAACATTATCAAGATGTAGTAACCACCAGGACATCGCACAAAGTGAATACTCCACAATCCTCGTTTTTGCTGGAAACCTTGCAGGCCACAGCCGAAGATGGCTGCATTGACTCACTTGTGCACAAACATGATGGTTAAACAGTCTTGATCTTTCAACTGGATTAAAGAAGATGACTGAAGACAATTCGACATGGTTCGGAAACTTGATTGGTAACCCGTGGATGTGGATGAAGGAAATAGCAATTCTGCTGTTGTTTCTCTTATTAGCGTACAATCTATGTGTCCACAGTATCAAGTGTTTCATCCAAAAAATGAATTACACCTCTCACGAGAAAATCACCGTTCCAACCAGTAAAGACTATTATCCGTAAGAACTTCACGGACCCTAATTGCATTTGTTTGTTTTCTGTGTCAGCACGCAATTATAGAAAAAGCAAACACAGAACATAAGTATGTGCCTGTAACTAGCACAAGTTACATGAATTAACTTTCTTAAGTGTTTAAATTTGTATGTAGCTGACGCTGGAAGGTCAGCTCAGGGGATGATAATTTGGTGATTTGAGTGGTTAATGTTTATTTTGACTTTATAGTTTATTTTGTGATTTCATAGTTTAAATGTGTATTTCTGTATGGTGAATTTCTTAATTTGTTTGCCGTTTGTATTTTATTATTATTCTATCGTTGAAGTTGAGGTCATGTGATCCTGTGTGTGCTGATTAATTCAGCTGGACGTGTTAGCGTCAATGTAATGATGTGATGTGAAACTAAGACCGCAGGATAGTGCTCCTGACTTAAATCTACTGTTGGTTACCAGGCGAATACGGTAAATGTTTTAATACTTTGTATATTATGTTGGTTTGTGTTTGTAGTGGTGTTGTGTGTAAAATTATGGTTTGGTTTTCCTTTGTGTCTAGTTTTCACGGTGTCTCTGGAATAAATAAACAAAAATGGACATCAGTACTTCGGAAGCGTGGACTGTTTTGTAATCAGCGAGTAGTTACAGTGAAAACGTAACCTAATTCCATTCTACCGACTACGAGATGTGCTTTGGCGGTGATCCTCCAGTTTCGGCGAGCAGCCTGCCACTTCCAAGTCTCTGCACGCGGATGAACTGTTTTCCGTGGTGATCGCCGATGCTGCTGTCTTCGGTGTGCGGATCTGTTGTGCCTTCCTTGGACTTCGCGTGCCGTTCGATTGTGTCCCGTGGTGAACTTAAAGGACTTGGCGTGCAGTGTTTGCCTTCTATGATGGACCGTTGCGAGCTTTAGTGTGCAAATCTGCTACATGACCGTCAATGGAGGATCTTCTCACGCAACTTTGTCAGCTGCGTATCAGCAGGTTAGATGTGCAATGTCAAATGATCCTTTTTGTAAATGATGGATAGTTTTAAGTAAAAAAAAAAAAAAAAAAAAAAAAAAAAAGTTCCAGAGATAACTGATTCTTAACTGCATGATTGTAATGTGTTTAAGATTTCTTAAGTAGATAAATGTCTAAGTGTTAAGGGCATTTAAGTTAATTTGTTACTCAGTCTAAGATTGTTTCACTACTATCTATTGCGATCATAAATGTCATATTTTGTACTATTTGTAAAAGCACACTTTTTTTAGAAAAATGTCAGTCCAGGGTGAGTCAGCTGAACAAAATGATTCTCCATTATCAGAGCAAGTAGATTTATTGGCAGAGAATTTGGATGGTGTTGTGAGGCCTCGACATGTATCATGTGCATCATGCACCGAGAAATCTGAGGCAAGGCGTAAAGAGCTTAATTCTGTGTTATTAGAGACAACTGAAATCAGAAAATCCTCCCGTGATAAACGTTTAACTCCAAAGATGCAGGAGTTAAAAGAGCAAGAACTGATTCAAAAGGAGAGGAAGTTTAAATCTGTATATGAGAAATGGAAGTCTCAAGCCAGAGATGTTCGTTCAAAGTTAAAACGTGAGTGCTCTGAAAAAGACTTGTGTGACATGATGGATGAGGTTGAGAGGCAAGAGTTTGAATTGAAAGAGTTATATGATAACATGCGACTCCAAGCACCACCAAGCCAAGAAACTAGGAGGAAAATTGATGCATGTTCGGCTGTAACGGCAGACTTGATGAAATTAATGAGGGTACGCATGGTGGAAGATGGCATAGAATTTGATGCTGAAGCTGAGAGAGCAAGGTTACGTATGCTACTGGACTGTGAGTACGCTAGGTCTATATATGGATCCACGGTGGGTAGAGCTACGGTCGTTAGCAATCATTCTAAACCTGCATCGGAGTCTGAAAGCATTTCAGCTAAGAGAGCTGAGACTGCCGCGCTGTTGGCCGCGAAAAAGGCTGAAGTGGAAATGGAGGCTGACATCGAAGCACAAAGGCAGCAACTGAAGAAGCTGGAAGATCGTAGAGACATTGAGGTTATGGAGGCAAGGCTCAGAGTGTATACTGAGGAGGAGTCAAGGATAAAAAGTCAACGGTGTGATTCAGTATGTGACGTGAGTAACCACAGCCCCCTGGTTCCTAACACATGTTTGAATCAGCAAGTTACAAGAAGTGAAGTATCCTTAGTACAGGCCTTACAAGGGTCTATGGCTCTATCTCGACTCCCAGCTCCAGAACCCTTTGTATTTTATGGCGACCCATTGAAGTTTATAGAATGGAGCACCACCTTTAAAGCTCTAATAGAGGGACGGTGCTCAAATCCCGCAGATAAGCTCTTCTACTTACAGAAGTATGTTGACGGTGAGGCAAGATCGGCTCTGGAAGGTAGCTTCTACAGGAAAGATGAACAGGCCTATCAGCAAGCGTGGGAGAAGTTGAATGCCAGATATGGTCACTCCTTTGTGGTGCAACGTGCCTTTAGAGAGAAACTTAATAGGTGGCCTAAGATTGGTGCAGCCGAGTACGTCAAGTTAAGAGAGTTCAGTGACTTCCTACAATCATGTAGTGATGCTTTGCCGCATATTAAGGGTCTTCAAGTGCTGAATGATTGCGAGGAAAATCAGAGGATACTGGCCAAGCTTCCTTTCTGGGTGACAAGCAGGTGGAACCGTTATGTCACAGAACAGCTGGATAAAGACCAAGATTATCCAAGCTTTAATCAGTTTGCCTCATTTGTATCAAAAGAAGCACGCATAGCGTGCAATCCTGTGTCATCATTGTATGCACTAAAGACTGTTGAAGAGAAGCCATCTAAGGAAATAAAGCGTTCAAGAGTAAACACGTTTGCAACCACTGCGAAGGCTTTAGATGCAGCATATGCTACGGCTGAATTCAGTGACCTTACCGACCGTGAGACTGAAGAGACTTGTAGGAAGAAAACTACCTTTGTGAGTAGCCTAAATTCAGTTGAATGTATGTTCTGTGATGATCGTCATTCTATTCAGGAATGTCCAAAACTAATGGAAAGGGTAGTAGAGGAAAAGAGGAAGTTTGTCATGGAGAATAAGTTGTGCTTTGCATGTTTAAGAAGAGGGCATGGCTCCAAAGACTGCAGAAATAGAGCTGTGTGTGGGTTATGCAAGAAGCGCCACCCCACTTCATTACATGAAGATCGTCAGCCAGAAAACAAGTCGTCTCCACGGATAGCTTTGCAGACGGAAGAGAATGCATTCTCTCTAACATGCTGTACGAAGGGTGGAGAAGGTGATATAACATCTATGATTGTCCCAGTATGGCTGTCTTTATCTAACTCAGAGTCTGAAGTCTGTGTATATGCTTTACTAGACACCCAGAGTAGTCACACATTTGTGGATCAGGAAGTGTGTGAAAGCTTGCAGGCATTAATGGAACCGGTAAAACTAAAGCTTTCCACAATGATGGAAAAAGACTCTGTTGTAATGAGTCACAGTGTAAGTGGACTTCAGGTTAGAGGATTTTCTTCGGACATCCCTATCTGTCTGCCTCCTGTTTACACAAGAGACTTTATTCCCTTTGTGCCCACACATATTCCAACCTGCGAAACAGCTAAACGGTGGAGACACCTAGAGGTGATCGCTAATGAAATGCCCGTACGGATGGATTGTGGAGTAGGTCTATTGATCGGCTATGATTGCTCCAGAGCACTGATGCCACGACAGGTCATCACTGGTGGGGATGAAGAGCCTTATGCCATCAAGACGGACCTTGGCTGGAGCATCATAGGAGGAACTCCAGGATGTGTAAACTCCAAGTTTGGGACTGGTTTATGCCATCGCATATCAGTCAGAGAACTCCCCTCCGTGACACCTGCCACTGTTATTAGGGCACTTGAGCTGGATTTTATAGATATTTCATCCGGTGAAAAGAGTAAATCACAAGATGATATTCAGTTCCTGCAGGTAGTAAAAGAGGGTGTCTATCAAAATGAGTATGGCCATCTTGAGATGCCTCTTCCTTTTAAAATACGGCCTCAGCTTCCAAATAATAGGAGTCTTGCATTAGGACGGTTGAAGCACCTCAAGAGGAAACTGGACAAGAATCCTCAATTCAGACAGGACTATGTGAAGTTTATGGAAGATGTCTTCAGAGATGGAGATGCGGAAATAGCAAATGAGCAACCAGACCCGGGTAATGTGTGGTATATTCCCCATCAAGGCGTCTATCACCATAGGAAACCAAATAAGATCAGGATAGTCTTTGACTGCGCCGCTAGGTATGAAGGTACCGCGTTAAATGACCATCTATTGACAGGGCCTGACCTTACCAATGGATTGACTGGAGTGCTTTGCCGTTTCCGTAAACACCCTATCGCTGTCATGTGTGACATTGAGAAAATGTTTCATAGATTTCATGTTATTAAGGAAGATCGGGACTATCTGCGTTTTCTGTGGTGGGCAAATGGGGATACCGACGCAGAACCCAGAGAATATCGCATGAAAGTACACCTTTTTGGAGCATCATCTTCTCCAGGCTGCGCCAATTATGGCCTGAAGTATCTCGCCAATATGAATGAGAGTGAGTATCCTTTGGCAGCGGGGTTTATCAGGAACCATTTTTATGTGGACGACGGCCTTGTAAGCCTGGAATCTGTTGAGGTAGCAATCAAGCTGGTGAAGGAAGCTCAGGCCGTGTGTGCTAAGGGAAAGCTGCATCTTCACAAGTTTATTTCAAACAACCGAGAAGTGTTGGAGTCAATCAGTCCGTGTGATCATGCTGCTGAAGTAAAGAACGTTGACTTTCATCATGACTTTCTTCCAGTACAAAATGTCTTGGGCGTAAGGTGGGATGTAGAGAATGATGTATTCACATTCAAGGTTGTTCTTGAAAGGAAACCTGCGACACGACGTGGAATTCTGTCCATGGTGGCTTCAGTCTATGACCCTTTGGGGTTTTTGGCCCCATTTGTCATATCTGGCAAGAAGGTCCTGCAGGAGATGTGCCAGAAGGGCATCAGTTGGGATGAACCGTTACCCTCTGAACTGAGACCAAGGTGGGAGAGTTGGTTGAATGATCTGCCCAACCTAGGGAAGGTACAGATTCCACGATGTTTCGCCCCTCCAAATTTTGGGCCGATTCTGAGCATTGAATTGCACCACTTTTCTGATGCTAGCAGTCAAGGCTATGGGCAGTGCTCTTATATCAGATTGATGAGTGAAAGTAAGATACATTGTGCTTTAGTTATGGGTAAAGCAAGAGTTGCTCCCATCAAAGTTGTCACTATACCAAGATTAGAGTTAACTGCAGCAGTCATCTCTGCTGCTGTTAGTAGTACGTTGAAAGAGGAGTTGGCACTCAGAGTCGATAGAGAATATTTCTGGACAGATTCTCAAGTGGTCCTTGGCTATATCAACAATGAAGCAAGAAGATTTCATGTCTTTGTTGCTAACCGGGTCCAGAGAATTCGGGAGGCCACCGATCCAAGACAGTGGTATTACATCAATACAGAAGAGAATCCTGCTGACCATGCCTCGAGGGGCCTTACTGTAGAGGAGTTGATCAGTTCAAACTGGTTGACAGGGCCCAGATTCCTCTGGGAGAAAGAGATATTTGCTAAACAAGGAACGTTGGAGCTGTCGGTGGGAGACCCGGAGGTCAAGGCTGTCCAGGTATTGAGGACCGAGATTATGACTGAGGTGGATTTTCAACAGCGACTATCACGACTATCAAAATGGACTACAGCTGTGAATGTCATTGCTCGCATCCAAAGATTAGCAAGGAAGATGAAGACTCCAACATCTTTAAATGTCGAGGAGAGGAGGAGGGCCTCATTTACTCTTATTCAGCTTGCACAACAGGATGCTTTCAAAGAAGAGTTGAATGTACTCAGTCAGGACTCGGGCAGGCTGCCTTCAAGCCATCCTCTGTATCAGCTTGATCCATTCATGCAGGATGGAATAATGAGGGTGGGAGGACGATTGAGGAGGGCATGTGCTCCTCTTGAATTACGATACCCAGCAATCCTTCCAAGTAATGGTCTGATCACATACCTTGTATTGGCACACTATCATCAAAAAATTCAACATCAAGGCAGGGGACAGACTCTGAATGAACTGCGAGCCAATGGCTTTTGGATCATGGGTGGCAGTAAGGTGGTAGCGCACTACATACGACAGTGTGTTCCTTGTAGGAGAGCACGTAGGCCGCCAGAACAACAACGGATGGCGGACTTGCCCCATGACCGAACTGACCCCTCCCCGCCATTTACCTATTGTGGCATGGACTGTTTTGGTCCTTTTTACACCAAGCAAGGTCGTAAAACACATAAACGATATGGCCTTCTTTTACTTGTCTTTGCTCCAGAGCAGTCCACGTAGAGATGTTGGAGGACATGACGACTGATGCATTCATCAACGCTTTACGGTGTTTTCTAGCCATCCGTGGAGCTGTCAGACATATTAGATCAGACCAAGGAACAAACTTCATGGGGGCAAGGAATGAGTTGAAGAAAGCTTTAAGAGAAGTGAGTAAAGAGAGAGTGGCAGCATATCTGGCAGAGAAGCAGTGCGATTTCTGCCTGAATGCACCCAGTTCAAGTCACGCTGGAGGTGTCTGGGAACGGCAGATTCGAACTGTAAAGGGTGTGATGAGTTCAGTTTTGGCACTAAGTAGTGGAAGACTTAATGATGCCTCTTTACGTACATTCTTCTATGAAGCTATGTCAATAGTCAACAATCGGCCATTGACAGTGGATGGTCTCAGTGATCCTACAAGTCCAGAGCCCTTAACCCCCAATCACCTGCTTACCATGAAGTCGTCTGTCCCACTTCCTCCTCCGGGTGCATTTGTTAAGGAAGATCTTTATGCAAAGAAACGTTGGAGGCAGGTGCAGTATTTGAGTGAACAGTTTTGGAGCAGATGGAGGAAAGAATATCTTGCTAATATCTCTCTAAGGCAAAGATGGCATGCACTAAGGCGGAATGTGCAAGTGGGGGACATTGTCATTGTTAAGGAAGAGGAAACTCCCCGCAACGAATGGAGGTTGGCTAGGGTCGTTGAAGTTTGCAAGGCTGATGATGGACTGGTACGGAAAGCTAAAATACAGATTGGTGATCGGAAGTTGGGGAAAAGGGGTGAACGCCTCACTAAACCCTCTGTTATTGAACGACCCATCCAAAAATTGGTAGTTTTTGTAGCAAAAGGTGAAAATTAATATCTTATCACTCATTAGAAGTTGAATCATGTTAGTACCATGCTGTGATATGTTGATTTGTGCTGCCCTAATGCTGGTTGACAGTAGAATGTGAAGAATGGTGAACAATTTGTTCATTTTAACAGAAGATTGTATAATTATGAAATATGAACCTTTTTTTGTGGTTTTTTTTGTTGTTTTTTGCTTTTTTGCCGATTTTCATGTTTCCTGTTGGAGCTTGGAAATTACCATTTGATTGGTTGTGTTTGTTTCTTATCACTCAATGGTAATTTGGTGGGAGTGTAGCTGACGCTGGAAGGTCAGCTCAGGGGATGATAATTTGGTGATTTGAGTGGTTAATGTTTATTTTGACTTTATAGTTTATTTTGTGATTTCATAGTTTAAATGTGTATTTCTGTATGGTGAATTTCTTAATTTGTTTGCCGTTTGTATTTTATTATTATTCTATCGTTGAAGTTGAGGTCATGTGATCCTGTGTGTGCTGATTAATTCAGCTGGACGTGTTAGCGTCAATGTAATGATGTGATGTGAAACTAAGACCGCAGGATAGTGCTCCTGACTTAAATCTACTGTTGGTTACCAGGCGAATACGGTAAATGTTTTAATACTTTGTATATTATGTTGGTTTGTGTTTGTAGTGGTGTTGTGTGTAAAATTATGGTTTGGTTTTCCTTTGTGTCTAGTTTTCACGGTGTCTCTGGAATAAATAAACAAAAATGGACATCAGTACTTCGGAAGCGTGGACTGTTTTGTAATCAGCGAGTAGTTACATTGTACATAATGTGAGAGTTATTAATACTCTCAAAAGGGGGGACTGAAGAAATAGAAATTTATTCAATGTTTCATTAAGGTTTAACAGTATTTTGAACTGAAAAATGTATACAGTGTTTACCATTTTGAGGCCAATAAGATTAAGCCAAGCATTCCAGGTGTCACACATTAGCTTTTGTCTTTATGCGCTTCCTGGCCATTAAGTTCAAGATTCAGCTTTGCTTTTGTAATGATAAAAGTGTGACCACGCTGGTCAGACTGATTAGATTAGCGTCTCTGGTAATCTGCTGAATCATTTACATTTGCTTTGTTTCAAGAGACTCCTCCTCAATGTAACTCCTCCAGATTAGCATCTCAAGGCACAGAAAACTGCTATGCTGATGAACTGAGGTGTCTGTTGAAATTATACATTTACTTTTGTTTCAGTTTCTCCCCCCTCGATGTAAACTCCTCCCCTCTAAATGTATAAATTGTAAGGGAATATTCTCCCTTAGTTAGACTATCTTAGACTATCTTTGAGATGACTACAGCTACGCAATAAAGAACTTCTGCGTAAAAGATACCTCAAGAGTCTCCTGGTCTGTTGCGTGGAAGGAAGAAAAACTTCACTACATTTTGAAAGACTGATTTTCGAGTAGGTTTATTTATTTTATAAAGTGACATTAAATTGTTAAGCTATTGTGGTTCAAATTGTCTTTTTCTAGACGAGTATAGGCTACTAATCAAAGCCTTGATAAACATTATATTGTAATCGCAAACAATGGTTTAAATAAAAAAAAATAGCTTGATTGAAATGACAGAGCAGGAAAAACTTGCTTATAATAACAACTTTTTTTAAGTAAAAAAAAAAAAATACTTTTTTAACCTTTTGGCTTCCCGTACATCCAGTTGTGCTTGTCGTATTCAATTCTGATGGTGCGTATGGTAACCTCATGGTAAAGTGGGCAACTACGCACGATTTGTAGTATGATTGCATAAAGGGAACAGGAATTCCTGAAGGGAACAGAATCGACTGCTACACCGGTCTTCATCAAGCCGGAGATACATCACTCGACGGCGCCGGGGATGAAAGATCCCCACCATCTCCTCCAGTAAAACATAAAAGATAAAAATAATATATTCCTGCTCAATTTCAACAAGTAGCGTCCCAGATAGCAAACTGACATTGAATCAATGTGGAAATATGACATCGAAACAACGTTGATCTGACATTGTTTTGCTCATCGAATTAACGTTGAACCAACGTCAGACGCGTCATTCTTTCAAAACTAACGGAAAATCAACTTGAAATCAACGCGTTGTTTCAACGTTATGAAAGCAAACCAATTTTCGATTTTCATTTAGCTTTGAAGAATGCCGCGTCTGACGTTGGTTCAACGTTAATTCGATGAGCAAAATCGACGTTGTTTCAATGTCATGAGAGACGTCGTTTCCACGTTGATTCAATGTCAGTTTGCTATCTGGGGTTAGTGTTCTGCCGTGTAGAATGGTAGCTGTCCTATCACCTGGTGGAACACCTGGTGGCGCAATTACAAATCCTACGAAGGCTACATGGTGCATCCTTGGAAGTACGAATAGGCTGCATCCTTCGAAGTCCGCGGCCTTTTGAGGGACCTCGGACCAGTGGATTTATTTATTTTTTCTCTTTTTGGGGACATTATTTTCCATCCAGACTTTGGATTGCCTACCTACCCCAAAGCAGAAAAGGACTAAGACAGGACTGTTGAGTATCTTTGTTATTCATATTTTGTTTGTTTTTGCTTTGTTTGAGTTTTAAACAAAGTCAACAGATTTGTTATGTTTGACAAATGTATAATTACGTAATTCCAACATGCTATTCTTTGGTGAATGTGCCGTTTTTTGTAATCATGCTGTTTTTGTGTAGTAGCTACTTTTGAGGAAAAGGAATTGATAGACCACTCCCCTTGTTATAATAATTTTACACTTTTATGAAAGGTTGAAGTTGTTATACAGTCTCATAGCTTGCTAACTTGGCCTTTTTGAGCAGAGCCCTATAGCTTTCCATGTGACAGACTGTCCACTTTGCAGCCATGATCTCCTTTCCTGTCAGTGCTCAGGCTGGCTCTGTACTGGGTCTTGTTTTTTATAACAACACTGAAAACCCTTTCACAATCAGCAGGGATATGGAAGACAACCAATACCCCAAGCATTTCTACTGAAAGGTTGAGAAGACCTCCTTGCCTCCCCTCTTCAACAGGCCAATGTCTCACCAGGCCTCATCAATACGCTTGTTGATGATGCTGTCATAAAAGCTGGTGGTTTGATGCATCCGGAAATCATTTCCACTCGATCCACAGTGACCTCTTCAGGCAGAATAGAAGGAAAGCGACAGATAAAGAACCGGAGGGAATAGAATTTCACAAAGTGCCCCTTTGCTATGTCTACCACAACAGCATATGTAAGCAGCTCATCACCAAATGAATATTTGGATACCATGTTGTCAGCAGCAGATGAAAAGAACTTCCTAACGTCTCTGAAGAATGGCTCCAGCTCTAGGTTGTCTTGGCTCTGAGTCATGTCCAGTTGAGAGTTCCTCATCAGGTTGCTGATTTTCCCTTGTTATGGTTGGCATGATACCTCTACCAATGGGCTCTATGCACGGCGGTATTTCCGGTGAAGGATTAAGGATGCTCGATAACTTCCGCCGATTGTAGAGTCCAATGCAATACCGAGAATTTATATTGAATTTTATACTCCATGGTTATAATAAAGAAACGTTAGTCACAAAAACAGATAAAACAGACACCCCTCATTGTGTTTATGCTTCTTTTTAAAATTATATTAAATAAATATAACTATATATAAAATTACATCTAAACGTATGTACGTTTCATTTCAAAGACTGGAGGACAGTAAATTTTGAAGACTCTGCCATAATCCCGTTGCCATAATCCCGACAATGTATAGTTTGTCCAATTTTAATTTGGCATTAGGCTAACAGTTTTACTGATATTACTAAGTTCCTAAATTATTGTTCTTTCCCATATGATTTAGTAAAACTATATTGAGACCTCTGTCCTTCTAGGGGGGTTCGGGGGCATGCTCCCCCGGAAGAAAATTTTGTACATTTTAAGGTTAAATGCATCAATCTGGTGCACTTTGAGAGCTCAAAATTAAGAGTTTTAACCGGCTTCAAATCATGAACTGTGACATTCAACAAAGCAAAAGCCTCGACTTGTACCTGGACATTAAAGAGGGATCAAACATCTTTTTAGTTATGATATAAAGTCTATGATATAAAGACTTTATGATATAAAGTCTCAGTCTCTTTTAGGATGCCAAACGATTATTATAATAATGTAATAACGATTTATATAATTATTCCTATTACGTAAAATCCATATAGGCCTAGTCTATAAATGTAGGCTGCTG